AAAAAAAAATACGTAGTTAAATTGAGTTTAAGAATAGTAATAGATTGATGGTAATAGAAACTACCTTCACAGCAAAAAATTGAAAACTATTGAAAAACAATTGGCATTAAAATACCTTATTTCAATCACTATTTTGAGCAATCCATTTCCGTGCACGCGAACGGAGGCACCAGCGTGCGCACGGAGGCACCTCCGTTCTAGTGCCTCCGTGCACGCTGTCCCTGCCTTAGCAGCGTGCCTCCGTGCGCAGCACGCCACCGTGATTTGGAAAAATAAATAATTTTAAAGTAAGTTTGACTTAAATTTAAGTACAACCAAACACACTAACGTGCTATGTTCGTAGTAGATCATTGATTGTTTAATCCTTTAAATTCAACGTACATACAAAGTGATTATCATTTGTTTTATATACATATTTTTACATTTTCACATATGAAATTAATTAATTAGAATATAATGAATATTGACTTACAAGCTAATAATCTGAGGCACCAAATCCGTCATCGGCTACACCAGATTCGACGACCCGTCAAACTACACTCTATTTTCTTGGCGACTCAACGTCGCCAAGAAAATTAGTCTTGGGTGCTCACCGACTCAATTCCTTGCCGAATTTCTCTAATTATTGTTCAGAATTGTTACTGGTAAATATTATTCTTAATTATCATTCTTAATTATTTGTAAATATTGTTCTCTAATTATTCATCAGTCGAATTTCCTACGATTTCTTGGCGGTAGTATTGCTACAGACTGAAATCTGGAGGTGGAGGAGAAGACGGTGATTGAAAATGGTAAGCAGATAAAATAGGGCAGAAGTGGTGTGAAGTAGTAGGAAAAGGCGGTTAACAAAACGGCGTCGTGTTGGTTGAAGATTCAAATTCTTAATATCTGGCATGAACAATGCCTCCCCAAGTGGCTCTTTTATTTTGTTAAGGAAATCATTTCTTCACCATCATCTGCTGCAGTAAGAAGTTGCTATGAAAAGTGACCACAACTCCAATTATAAATAGTTGATTGTTGAAAAAAACTGGTTTCTGAAACCCTAGATTGTTCATCAGAACCTAAACGTAGATCTGCTAACCCTGAGTCTGGAGAATTCATCAGACGTGTCCTAAATTCTGGGGAGCAAACTCTTCGCATTTCCAAGTAGCTTGGTCTAGAAGGACTAACATGAGGGGTTTTGAATGTCAGCGGAAAATGGCCTACTAAAACAGCAGAAAACAAAGGGAAATTTATAACAAATAAGCCATAATAGAAAGAATACAAACAAATAACAAACATCCAAAATGCCAAATTAGAGGAAGGAACTGCACTAAAATTACAGTGCAGGACAAATGATTGCAACTTCCAACATTTATTCAGTGACAGATTCACTCCTCAAACGAGAATCATCAATTGACAAACTGCACATTACAATACCAAGAATGATCATATAGCTCCATTCAATTCAAACCAAGATGATGAATGAGCTAGTCCAGCAAGACGAGGATTTGGAGTACTCGTTGATTCAGCAGGGCGTACACTTCCACCACTAGACTTCACAGATTTAGCAACCACTTGTTCAATACCAATAGTGGACAGCACTCGCTGACCAAGATTTGCAACATGTGGTGATGGATCCTTTGCCAGAGTATAGATAGCCAATACACACTTCAAATAGAATGCATTTTCTAGTGGTCTTGGTCTTGTGTGGTTTAAACCTCCCTTGCTAACACAATCATTCAATATGCCAGAATCAGAATCCTGTGATGGATCATCAGAAAGAGGAGATCCGTGCAGTATTCCAAGTTAGCAAGGGGACTGCTAGTGGAGAATCTACCATCACGAACTACTGACTGGCTCTCATTCTTAACTCCCAATAAAGGAGAAATTGTAGATGAAACTATACTTCCTTGCGACATGTAGCGGCTTGGGGTTGTATGGACACTACCTGCACCCTTGATCAGGAAAGAAGGCAAAGAAGTAAGTGTTAGGCAAATTGTTGTCAAATGACCTCCCCCGGGCGATGATGAAATACGTTGTATTAATTCAGTCGGCATAGTCCAAATGACTGAAAGTTAATCGAACACCACAATTGGTAAACCAACCCTAAACCGACCCAAACTTGGATGGCCCACCTATGTTTTCTACTTGGACCTTAGCTTGTTTATTGGGTCTAACCTAGTTCTATACCTAATACTATATGTATGCTAACCCGTTTCTATTCATAGTGTGTGAGAGAACTTGTGCCTTGGAGAAAAAACCGTGTCTTCTACAGTGGCTGTGTGCTACCTACGTCCCTTTTTTCTTCTCCTTTGCCTTTGTGGCTAGATTGTGGTTACAATACTCTCTTCACCATTCGACCAACCTGTGTGGGCAGTAGAAAACGGTGGAGCAACCGTTTGGAAAGAGGGGTTTTGGGTTTTCTCTTGTGGTGTTCGATTGGAGGTATTCTGAGCCTGGTTTCTTGGTGTAAACGGTGTTTTATCATCACAGTAAGCACGGATTTTGACTGAGGCTTCCAATTAGCAACAGCAACTGATTTTAGGTTCTTGTTATGGCCAAAGGCAAAACGTGACAGCGCTGCGGAAAGGAAAAAAGTCAATCCTCTGTAGTTCAGATGATAAAATAATCCAATGACTTGACCAATAAAGCAAGGACAACTTAGAAACGAGGTTGATGAAAAGAAACAATTTTATTACTAACACAAATTGACCTGAGGATGAGAATTAGACTTACCTACAGCAACTTCGGCCCGTACCAATGGGCTTCCATCTGAAACAACACTTAAAAGGCACTTAACAACCCTAACTTCATCCCTAATTTTTTCATCGGCATTACAATCTCGACCATTCCTTGATGCATCAAACTTGACATCAAGCACAGTGCCCAAAGCAAAAATAGCTGCAGCCCGGACCTTTTAAAGATGCTCTTCCACTTGAGGGATTGGAGAATAAAGCAATGAACAAAACACCAAACCAGGAAATAGATTTGAAAACGAACACCAATGGCTCCTCAAACTATATTTGCCCCCTCTTAGATTGAAAAAATGCTCGTAGGGATTAAAGCAAATGTTTTGCACGATTTAAACAAGCCTTGTAAAGAATTAACACTGCATTAAGTGTAATTCTCCAAAACTTGAAGAAGACTAAAGAAGAATTTGAATATGATGAAGAAAATTGTGATTTCTTGTTGTTTTTGGAATGATTTTTGTTCTTGACTATGGTTTTATTGTTGAAGACTAAAGAAGAATTTGAATATGATGAAGAATATTGTGATTTCTTGTTGTTTTTTGAATGATTTTTGTGCTTGACTATGGTTTTGTACGTTTTCAATATCATTATAAAGATCACAAACCACCCATATATAACCAAGAGATATGGTCATACGAAGTGGTGCCAAAAAACACTCCAAAAGCCACCAAAAATTTGAACAAAACTGTGACTAAAGGCTCTTTTGGCCTTCTATGTGGTCGCATAATTCAACACTATGCAACCGCATAGTTGGCAGGGATTAAAATCCCCTTGGCCTATGCAAAATTTGGTCACCAAAATTGATTTTCATTCCATATTATTCGACACCTGTTTCTTATCAACTTTGAACAATATTTTTAACATGTACATTAGACGTATTATTTTTTGTAAATTTGTTTTATAAATTTGCCAAATGGATGCTGATTCAAAAAAAGTGAAATAATGGTATAAATTAAGAAATCTCATTCTGATAAATAAAGGTTGGACATTATTTTGAAAAATAAACTTCTTGTTTTAGATTATATGGGTAACATTTTTTTCTAAATAAAAAGTAAAAGGCTCGAAATACTATTTTTATTTACAAATAAAAAATAAAAATAAAAATTGAGTAATGTTGAATCTATATAATTATTTACAGATTGATAACATGACATATATTAAATTAACTATTTATTTCTCTCTCTCTCTCTCTCTCTCTATTTAAAATTATTTTTTTCATATAATTCTATATATCAATCAGTAAATAATGACGTACAAAACGCATTATTACTCTAAAAAAATCTGTGAGGACGCGTTATGACCTGGGCCATGCCATTTAAGGGGCATGCCTGATATGGATGGCTTAGCATTGATTTTTTAAAGTTGGTGCTTTGTTTCAATTTATCATCATTAATTAATTAATTCAATTTAACTTTATGTTTGATATGGATTAATTACATTTTTAGAATATTTTGACAAAAACTAACGAAATGTGTGAACGAAAAATCGCTAGTTCCATAAAATATGTGATTAAAATTAATTATTAATTTAGACTTAAATTTTAATTCAAACCAAATATGGGCATAATTAATTAATTAAATCATGAATTTAATAGTATACTTCTATGATTTTCAAAATAATAATAATAATTGTATATTTATATATACAACTCTTGTTTGGTGGATATTAAAATTTAGATTTTAATTTAAATTAAAGTTAACAATTAATTTTAACCGTACATTTTATGGGATCTACAACTTTTCAATCATATATTTCATTAAATTTTATTAAAATCTGCTAAAAATCTATTTTTAAACATACCGAACAAGGGCACAGTAGGTTGTGTACTCAAAAAAATAATAATCTTATTAGCAATTATATTTTTAAGTCTCGTCTCCTAATTTCTAGTGTTATAAATAGCGCGTCTTAGCGACGTAAAGGCGCGAGGCATGTCAAAAACGCTATGTCTAGGACTTATGCGCTAATTTAGCGGTCAACACTTCCGTTGACCGCTCTAAGAGACGCCTTGGCATGTATTATTATCATTATTAAAAAAAAAAAAACTACATAAAAATTTCAGCTTTTTGATCAATTGTATTGAAAGGTCCAAAAATTAATAATTATAAATTTTTTAACTTTGAGGCCAATAAATTGAAAGGCACAAAAAGTTGCTTACGTTATTAGTCCACTAATTTATAGCTGGCATTTCCAATGATTTTATTGTAAACTTTCTATGTGGGATAAGAATCCCTTTGGTTTGACTTTGTTGTATTGTTGTATAAATAGTTATTCAAATTTTATTAGTTAATTAATCATTTTTCTATCTTTACTAAATACTAATTAATAAAAATTAAAAACTCTCCAAATTATTTCAATTAGCACTATTATAATATATTTTGTTTATTATAGCACTATTATAATATATCTTGTTGATTGTTCGAAAATATATGTATTCTGTTAAACTTTTAAAACTGCATTTGGTACTATAATTTGTATATATTATTTAATAATTTTTATTTGATTAAAAATTCAAAATAATATTAAAATAAGAAAACCTTTTTTACGCCTTTTTACGCATAAGTCTCGCCTAGGCATGCATTGATGTTTGGCATCCATGTATCGCCACACATTACGCTTTTTAGAACATTGATAATTTTCAGAAATTGGCAATTCAAGTATCATCTACGGTATCTACCAGTCAATCATACTCCTACCACTTATGGAACTGGGACATCCACTCAACTGTAGATCATTTTATCCTTTATTAGTTGAGCTCATAGTTGCCCATACACAGTTAATAGCCAAACGCAACAGAATCCCTTGTTAAGTACTAAAATTTTTACCAAATATATTGGTTGGGGTTATCCTGCTAAAAAGGTTAAGGATGAATTGTAATCTCGTGAATAAGTTTGGGACCAATGACGCAATTTCCCTAATAATATAAAGAATAATCAAAGCTCATGTCGACATATTTCATGCTATACCAACGGAATTTGAAGTACGGACGGTTCCTAATGCATACCCCACCAAAGGATGACTACATAATGTCCTCATCATCTATGTCCGGACAATTTTCTGTTATGACTAAATTGCCCCTACATATCCACACATTAGTTTTCTCATTTTAAAAGCTAATGTCCAATTACAGTTCAAACAAAACAAAGGTTTAAACGATGAAGCCTGGAGTTTTTCACTCTTAAATCCCTTCGAAGAGGGGCACACGAAATATATATTATGGGGTTATCTTATTCTTAAGTACAAGGTAAGTTTGTCTTTTCGTCTTAAATTTATATTTTATCTGTCTACATGTATTAATAAACGTGCTTTACTCGTGTGCTGATTAAAAAAATCATTGGTTAAGAGTTCGTTTGACAAGATTATTGAAAAATCAAAAATAATTTCTGAATTTAAAAAGCTTCTTATGAACGACGTTAGATAATTTTTTAAAGTACTTTGTTATATGCTCTTGTCAAATAGATCCTAATAGTTTAATGAACTCAATTGTTATTGAATGTATTGCAAAGAAAGCAAAAGGGTATTTCAGTAAGTGCAACATCTAATCTAGTACCCTGGATCTACTATTTTATAGCAGTTCAAGTGTAGAAATATTACAAGCATAATTAAGGTCAAACAATCGATGATCCCAAAGGCTTGTGATGCAAAAGAGAAGAAGAATCCAATAATATGTCAAGATTTGAGGATGCAGTGTCTGTATTGATGCATGTAATTTTGAGGAAGAGCATCAACATATATGAAGAATTTTCATTCGTGCTGGTGGACTTGGTTTCGGTACTAAATTCAGTGTTTAGATTTTCGGGCAGGTTTTTGCGGAGATCGAACACAGTTCCAAGTCATTACTCGCCCATGTCATCGATGTTGGCTCGCCATGACCGGTAAAAGTTGTTGCTAAAACATGGTCAAAATAAAAGTGGTGATAGTCAGTTCCAAATTTATCAGGTAAAAAAGGTTTAGACATTGTTTGTTGCTGTGCTGCGATGAGATGAGATGATGAATGTTTTAAGTCAAGATCCACGTACTTTTATCAAGAATCATATCATGATTGATTGAATAATTTCTTGATTTTTTTTTTTTTTTCACTTTTATAATTTTGTTTTCCTTCATGTTGGAAGATTGCTTCTCTGGAAAATTAATGGCTTATAGATCATAAACTCTAATCTTTTGGTGCTTCATATGACGATAAATCCACGGATAGGAAAATGAAAGGAAACATAAGCATAGACTTTTACAAACCGATCTTAGTTGCAACAATAATATAAATTAAATACAACAATCAATTAAACCATAATAAATTTGGGATTGACTAATTTATTTATTTATTTTTATGGCTTTGTTTGGTTTTCATATTAGATTTCTATAGAATATACAAACTAAATCACTAAAGCCTCACAACCTCAACAAGCCACACTATTCTTGCTCTATCCATTCATATTCTAAAATGTATTGAAATTGCACCATGCATATGATCAAGAATCTCTTTACATCTACACGAAGCATGTCTCGACCTTATATATCGCCATTCCCTCAATTTATCAACAACGGTTATTGATATGAGATAGAACCTTAATTAATATTAATAGTCACTTCAATCGTCATATACATTGGGGTATTACGGGAATTTAGGAGAATAAAATGGTATAGGCAGACGATTCTATCATGTCATTTGTGAATGTGAAATTACTACTCATTATTGTCCACACAGTTCTTGATCCCCCCACTACTATAATGAACAAAATCTTAGTTTTTTTTTTTTCTTAGTAGCATTGATTCCAACCTGCCAAGCACGCGATAAAGGGGTCCAGAGAAAATCATTCAAAGGGTTTTATCTGTATAGCTTCAGATATTAAAGCAGCAACACGGCCATAAGTTCCAAATTGAGTTCAATTTTGAACATCTTTTGCATACATTTCACATCTGAACCAAAGATTCGTCTGTATCGATCTGGGTTCACAGCCTGACGAACTCCACTCTATTTCACGCAGCAAAAAAACAGGTCGTAAACTACTATTGCTATATGCATTTTATGTTATGCCTCATGCTTTGCTCCAAAAAACAGATTCATGACAGCCACGGTCCCAGCTTCAGTTCCGTTATATGCATTCCTCAGCGATATAATATCCTGACAACCTGTGTATAAACTCGCGCCAGTGTGATAGATAATTCATTTGCTTCTGTCCCAGAATTTGTGAAGAGCACAACCTACATATTGATTTGAATTTCATTACTAATAAGCCCTCTCAAACTTAGCCATTACACCGATCATAATTAGGCCATCAGAAAATGGCAAAGTGTCACCAGGCAACTTTGAGGCCAGTGCCCCAGCAAAATCAACAACTGCAGCGTGATTGAGGTATAAAATGGTGGAAATTGATTTATTTATTTATTTAAGCAAAATGGTGATATAAAATGGTGGAAATTGATTTCTTTATTTTAAAATGGTGGAATGTCACCATTTTTGTATCAAAGCAAAATTCACCTAGTCACCTTCGCTTGATTTCTTTATTTAAGATCATTCAAATCGTCTTCTTAATCTCAAACAATTTAGTCATGAATCTCGTCATTCCTTTCCCAATCTTGTTCCCAAGGCTAATGAGCACTCGTAGAAAATAATACTAAATAAACAATTACAATTTTTCCCCGACCCTATCGCTGTTTTTGTTTTGGCCTATCAATATTTCAGCAAAAGCTACATCTTAAACAAATATAATGAAAATACAAAAAGAATTTTATGGTGATAATTCTTATAATATTTATTCAAAAATATCAGGAAATCTATTAGGAGCTGTATGAAAGTTAAATAAATTTATAATTGTTATTATGTTACATTCCAATAAATAAATCCGAAGAAGAGTCGCATTTTGGGATCCCAATTCCCGTACAAGATGCCCTCTAGAAACTTGGATTAGAACCAGAAGTGCAAGAATCTACAATGACCATCTTCAACAGATAACACAATAACACGTACTCCATTAGGAATTCTGGAGGGATATCAATATCAATATTTTCTAAAAGTAAGGTTGAGACGACCTGGTTGAAGTTTTGCAAGTTCCACTAAGGCAGAAGGAGCTGTATTCGGGACAATGGACATCACTCCATGAAAAATATGTCTAGATTCGCCACCAAATATCAGCACATCACCTGATTGTAGTAAAACTTTCTCAGCCTTGTTAACATCTCTCTGACTGCCATATAAGAACTCAGCCGAGTCGCCCACAGAGAAGGAGACGATAGGCAATCCACTGAGTAGACTCTCCTTGCTTTCATCACGATCCTATATTTACAGAAGATGCGACAATTTTAAAGAGAGATGTAAATTTGAATTGATGAGATAGTAATCAAGCTATTATATAAAAAATGCATGGTTACTATTAAAAGAGTAAAGATAAGCTAATAAAAGAAATTTTGTGCCAAAGATGTAGAAAAGTTTTTTCCTTACTTCAAATATTTGCAACAGGTTTCACTAATTATCATGTCTAGTTCTGTATCAAGTTGGCTTCCCTAAATTATCTTACTGAGATTCAGGTGAAAGTAAACTAGATGCATCTGTCTCGTGTATGATGCAGCCAAATTCCAGTGCAAGATGAAAATACTATTCTTTTTGTTGATGAAAAGAATGTTTGCTTCATCAATTCACGGAGGAGAAATTGTATGAAATTATTAACTAAAAGATCTAGGTATTATCAACATCTATTAAGAAAAAGTATAGATCCTGAGATTAAGAAAAACAAAAAAGAATTTAATACCAACCTGATGGAGGCCTAGTCGCCCAGTACTGGTATAAAAGTTAACTATGCACACATCTGGAGACATTCGAGGGAGTATGTCCTCGGCATTCTTTGTCATCGAGTGTCTTTCGATCAGAGTATGGGAATCATCAACTGCTCTTCTTACTAATGAAGTGAATTCAAGAGGAATGCTAGGGGGCTCAGCACCATCATGCTGTCGTCTTCCTTGATACACTTTTGTTTGAGGATTCCAGTCGCGACCAAGACACATCATGTAAAGACGCAATTTTGCTCCATCTTGGAAACCGGGTCTGTAAAACCCTCCTGGGCCAAGACCTAAATTTCGACATCTCTTTACGATATCCACCTACATGCATAAAGTGCTAGAAATCAGGAAGCTGGAAGAAAAAATTACTGGTCTTAAAGCAACTGCATACCGCTAAAAAGATATGGCTGAACAAAGTGGTACCAAAAGGTTCTACAACATTTGCAAAAGAGATGGATCTTTTCTTCTTTTAAGGACATGGCCAAACATCATCAAAGTTCAGTAACATGAATAGCATTACAGTTTTCCCTGGTCAGGCAGTAAGTTATAACTTTATGCACAATAATTTGAAGCATAGCAGGTAATAAACACAAGTAGTTAGATGGAAGGTTGTTCCCCTCTTGTCAGTAAAGACTTGGCTATCACAATTTGAGAAGTTTCTAAAATAATTTTCTTGAACACAAATGACATCTCTTAAATTCATTGTGTTGCAAGATGATTTTCTATGCTTGGGCTGGTAAGGAGAGAACATATTAAGCAATGCAAACAATACACACAAGAGTAACTGATATTGGAATACTTGAGCATTAAAATTGGTCATCCATTGTTTGCACATATTCAAGTCAAATAATATAACATTGGGCTAGCTGTGAACTTCAAATCTTCTTATTTGTGAGGAAAGAGAATAATTTGAGCGACTATTTCAAATGGATTAGAGAGCAGTAGAGCATTACCTGCTCATTGAGGGAAATGTAATTTTTCAGCAAAACCATTCCAGGTCTCAACAGTTGACCATTCTCCTCAAGCAACCATTCAGCATCAATCTGTTTTTCCCAATTCCTTTCATAAATAGTAGGCTCAAGAAAATCTTGTTCCAAGGGCTCAGAGAGGCATATATCAAATGGCTCGTCTATGTTCACACCCTTGGTGGAACTTGAATTTTTCTTACCCTTTCCATACTTGGGGTTAGACTGGTGAAACTTTGAACTTCCAGAAGTAGAAGGCTCACGTCTCTTCCGTTTTGTTCATCCGTTTACCCTCGAATTCTCGTCGCCATCTAAATATAAACTGGTTAGTACTTCCAATTGCGAAGAACAAACCTCGTATGATCTTTTCTCGTGCTCAGTAGCCAAATCTATTTTAGTTCTCTTACTTTTATAAATGGAATTAATGCTAACCGCAGGTGAAGAAACTTCCTTCTCATAGAGATCAACCGACGAATCACATGACTCCGGCTGATTTCTTGCATTTTCCGTTCTTAACTGATGCAAAATCAATCATTAAGATCAGAAAATTCACCCTTATCTTTTTTAATCTATAGACAAGTATGGATTGACATTCAATTTGTTAACCAGTTAAAGATGAAAAGATGAAACAGGGCACGTTAACACCGTTCTGTAACAGTAATTCCACACCTTAAAACTAGGAACTGAAGATCATGGTGAAACCAAACTCAGAATATATTAATCCTCCATTTTGCATAAACTCACTCACAAAAGGCATAGTAATACAGCCAAAAACGGCAGAAATTCCAGCTAGATTTGCTTAGTAAGATTAGAAAATTCGCCCTTATCCTTTTAATCTGTAGTCGTATGGACAGACATTCACATTCAATTTGGAAAACAGTTACAAATGAAGTCGGGCAAATCAACGCTGTTTTGTAACAGTAACACAGAACCTTATTCTAATCATCACATACTATATTGAAACTAACCAAACTCAGAATATGTTAATCCTCCAGTTTCAAAATAATCAAAATAAGAAATAACCCACTCATAAAAAGGAGAATAAATGCGTTGAGAACAGCAAGAACAGCCCAGAACTACAAAATACTAATATCGGAAAGAATTGCCCATACCTTTTTAATCAATAGACGATTATGGACAGGCATTCAATTCAAGGAAAAAGTTGGAGATGAAATAGGGCATATTAAGGCCATTCTGTAACAGTAATTCTGCACCTTAAAAGGGCTGAAGGAAAGCATATAGAAAGACTCCGGTCACAGGTAAGCACCCTACCCAGGTCTCCGGGCTTAGATTAAGGCAACGGGGAGATGAGACAAGCTTGAAAGCCACAACACTTGTCTTTCAGACTTGGTACTTTCAGTCCTGGACCCTTTCGACTCCACTCGCTGATCTCTACTGATCTATTGACGGAGGGGATAACACCCCACCCAGGTCTCCAGGCTTAGATTAAGGCAACAGGGAGATGAGACAAGCTAGAATGCCACAACACTTGTCTTTCCGACTTGGTACTTTCAGTCCTGGCCCCAACTACGACGTTAACGATAATAAGGCTTCTCTTCCTCAGGGACATGTGCACCAGCCAGCACTTTGGCTATCAGGTTGTTTACTTGAGCTAGGCACTGTGCCGGGGTTGCCCATGAACAAATAAAGTATGTAGTAAGGTCCCTCGAGAATCTAGCTAATTTTCAGGAATCCAATTGGCATACTTGTATGGAGGCCCTCAGCCAACTAACCAATGTGACTGAATCTGCCCTAAGGGAAATGAAATGTGAGGCAATCGATGGAAATTCGTAGTATGCTCCCCACCCGATTGTCTTTTGTTTAAGTAGAATAGAATCATCTTTCTTTAGGGTGATCTTCGACCTCAACTCCAAGTGACTCTCTGTTGAGGAAAAAACATTCTATTTAAAGTGATAGCTGAATCTAATTAATGAAGATGCATACCAAAGCCCCTAGCCAACAAAATGGGAAAGAAAGTCCTGGAGGCTTTTTTCCTTACAAAAGAATTGGGGTGAAACGAAGAAGGCGCATCAAATTAACCCCCGTATTCAACAAAAGACTAAGAGACATGAGGACAAGCTCGTCCTCGTCCGAGGGGAGGGACTTAAAAAGATGCATAAATAGGGAAGAGACGAAAGCGGGAAAAGAGTACACCGAAGGAAAGGATAGTCCTTATATGAAACATAAAGTCGAAGGGGAGAAAAGCAAGAAGTCACCCTAAAAATTAAATTAGACAGCCTCTGCTCATATCAAACCCTAAACCCTGGCCAGACCATTAAGTCCAATAAAAATGACAAGAATAGACACCCCCACAAATCAGTGACTTACATCTCGCGTGAACAGCACCAACCAAAGAGTCCCGTAATCCAGAAAGGTCCCCGGAGGAAGGGGAAGCGGGCAGGTCCTGGCTTGTGTAACCTACGTGAAGAAAGCCTGTTGGATAGTTCGGCTAAGGGCAGGAGATGAGCTTCGGGCCACAAAGAAGCAGATTCGTCTGCCTGCTCAATGCAACAATCTATTCTCTGGCCGAAGCTATTAAATAAAAGTCTCATAGAAGTCTTCCAAAGAATTCCGATCATGTTTGCCAAACACACAACTTTTTCACAAATTTCTAGGGTTTTAACCAGTTGGGTTACGATTGGGGCCTTGGTTGGTTGGGGCATAGAAAGCAAGTTTAATTCATATTGTGCCCATAAGAATACGATACCATATTAAAACCAAACCCAGAATCTGTTTAAATCCTTTGTAAAACACAGTATGTACTCAAATCTGTTCGACAATATGTACTAATTTTAACTAAAATTTAAAAGAGTATCTATCACAGGTAACTGCTCATTCCTGAACATACCAATCTCCAAACTTTTAATTCATCTTATATATTTATTCAATTGTATTTTTCGCATATGATTACCCGTCGAAACTTTGACATTAATAGTAAATAAAAAATAAAAATACTCACCTTCTCTGGGGTAATTTTAGAATTGGCATCAGGGCTTGATCCCATCTCTCTGGCTCTCCTTATTGTCCTTCCAAGAAAAGAAATATTGCTGGAGAATTTGCTGTATGTTGACGCAAATCTTGACGGAGTGAGGGTTGTAGGGTAAAATTTGAATATCATGAATTTGAATAGTTGCGCAAACACGAACGGGAGACAGTAGAGAGAATGCCCTGCGTCAAGCGAGAGGAAAGCGAAGGATCTATGAGTTGAAGAAACTCTATTTTTGCAGTTAAGCCCATGTTTACTGGCCAATTTTTTTTTAGAAGAAAATTGTTGTAGAACGTGTAGTTAAAAAATATGAAAAAAAGATTGAATTTATGAATAAAATATTTTATTGCGGGAGAGTGCGATTAAAAATAGGTATGAGAAGAGAATAATTTGAAAGACAACCAATCATCGAATATGATGTCCCGATCTTTTTTTTTTTTTTTAATTTCTCGCAATTTGCAAAGTCGACAAGAAAATATTACATGATCAGGGTGTAACACACATATTTCATTGTAAGTATTTATATTTAAACAAATTTATGATGCCCTTGAATCATATTATAAGTAATGGCACTTTTTGTTTTTGATCTTCGCAAAATTTTATTAATATGCCCTCGACATTTTTTTGGCACATGTAATCTCGATCTTTCAAAAATGTAGCAAAACTCATCGTTCACCATTTTGGCCAATGACGAATTCGCCTCTTCGTTAAATAAATAAAAAAAAGAAATATTCCTAAATCTTTTCAAAATTAACAAATAGTCTTCTCCAACCATCCACATCCCCCAACTCAATCCACCCTCACAACGCCCACCCAAATCACCACTACCCAGCTACCCCCACCACTACTATCCCGACCGCACAATCCACCGCCACCAGACATTGGTGCTCGTAAAGAGGACGAAATGTTAAAGTTTTGTTTATTATTATTTTATTCTTAATTCTGGTTAGGTTTTGATTAATCAATTATTATTAGTGAGTTGTTAGACATGATTTGTATTATCCTTTTTAGCCCTATTTGGGTTCCATTTAATGAGGTTTCGAGAAAAAATGTGTTTTGAAATAATAATTTTTTTAAGAATGCGTGGTTAAAAAAGAAAAAAATTGGGCTTTACATGTAACATTATTTTATGAGAGAATGTATCGTTAAAATTGTATTTTGAAAAATATATTTTTGAAAAAAAAGGAACCGAAACGCAAGCTTATTAGGAGATATTTTGAGATTAATGGAATAACCACTTTAGTAGTGGGTCTAGTTTCCAATTTCTATTTGTATAAAATACAAGTAAATCAAGTTAATGATTTAGATTAAAACTAGATTTTTATTAGAATTTGATAAAAGTTGGTCCAACGTGTGTTTAAAATGTTAATAAAAATTCTGAATTTTATAAATTATATGGTTGAAAATGAATTAAAAAAAAAACCTCAAGAAATGATCGCATGATTCGTTTGATTCACAAGAATAGAACCATCCGAGATGCAAAGATCTTAGTAATAACCTTATAAAACACATCGTAACCTGCAGTTAGCCTATAATCACCAACGATATTTGAATGATTCGCCTTAGGAACTAAAGCAATGATCGTGTGATTCGTTTGTTTTGAAAACGAACTTGAGTTGAAAAATTCCAATACCGTCTCTTTTAAATCATTTCCAACAATTCCCCAAACCTTCTTAAAGAAGCAAGATGAGCATCCATCGAACCCGGTGATTTATCGTCTCCAATAGAAAAGGTCAAATACGAAGATAGACAAACAATATGCCCATTTGACAAAACATTAAAGTCAAAATTTATTTTCGAGGCTAAAAAATTGTTTTTTTTTAATATGTTTTAATAATTTTCAGCAAGCGTTTTATCTAACTAAAAAATCTTTTTGATGAAGTTGTTCTAAGGAAATTTTTTCAATAAACTATTCTAAAAGAAGTAGAAGTAAAAGAGAAAGTTTTGCCAATTGAACCCGTAATGTTCCACGTTGAATCACACATTTATTTGATCTTATACACAAACAAATTATGATTTAAGTCCATATTTTTCCTAGAAATGTTCCCTTATCGACAGAGCTTTTATAGGTTTTATTCTTGAATTATTTAGATATGATATTCGATAAGAGGATTTGGTGCCACGATGACATGAAACTGCCGACAAGTTAGATTTGCATTAGATGCGAAAGTTTGAGAATAGGTCATTCACTTGTTTTTATGTCATTTTCATGCTTCCACAATTGTTAAGGTTGTTCATCTTTCTCTTGATCATCATACGAGTAATGATGCACTCTATTATATTCATACGAGTAATGATTCACTCTATTTATTATGTGCTTTAACACGTTGAATTGTCGAATTGGACGAGTAGGAGAGTCTAAAAATCTCTTAGGCCAACTTTTGAATTTTTTTCTCATGTCAATCTCTCAACTAGTAAACAACTTTTAAAGAATATTAATTTTACATATCTTAGAGTCGGCGGAATATCAAATTTTATTTTTAGGGGTGAAAAAAAAGTAGCTTACAAGAAAGTGTAAATAAGCAAGTAAGAGCGTCTCCGATGGTGATATAATATTGAGTGTAAATTGGTGACTTCAAAAACACTTTTGCATCTTCACAAAACAAGTAGGCAAATGGGAGCTGTTCTCGACGCCATCTGAATATAAACTGGTTAGTACTTCAAATTGCAAAGAACCAACCTCGTCTGATCTTTGCTCGTGCTCAGTAGCCAAATCTATTTTAGTTCTCTTACTTTTATAAATGGAATTAATGCTAACCGAAGGTGAAGAAACTTCCTTCTCATAGAGATCAACTGACGAATCACATGACTCTGGTTGATTTCTTGCATTGTCCATTCTTAACTGATGCAAAATTAATCATTAAGATCAGAAAATTCACCCTTATCTTTTTTAATCTATAGACAAGTATGGATTGACACTCAATTTGTTAACCAGTTAAAGATGAAACAGGGCACGTTAACACCGTTCTGTAACAGTAATTCCACACATTAAAACTAGGAACTGAAGATCATGGTGAAACCAAACTCAGAATATGTTAATCCTCCAGTTTGTATAAACTCGCTCACAAAAGGCATAGTAATACAGCCAAAAACCGCAGAAATTCCAGCTAGATTTGCTTAGTAAGATTAGAAAATTCGCCCTTATCCTTTTAATCTGTAGTCATATGGACAGACATTCACATTCAATTTGGAAAACAGTTACAAATGAAGTAGGGCAAATCAACGCCGCTTTGTAACAGTAACACAGTACCTTATTCTAATTATCACATACTATATTGAAACCAACCATACTCAGAATATGTTAATCCTCCAGTTTCAAAATAATCAAAATAAAGAAATAACCCACTCATAAAAAGGAGAATAAATGCGCTGAGAACCGCAAGAACAGCCCAAAACTACAAAATACTAATTTCAGAAAGAATTGCCCATACCTTTTTAATCAATAGACGATTATGGACAGGCATTCAATTCGAGGAAAAAGTTGGAGATGAAATAGGGCATATTAATGCCATTCTGTAACAGTAATTCTGCACCTTAAAAGGGCTGAAGGAAAGCATATAGAAAGACTCCGGTCACAGGTAAGCACCCTAGGTCTCCGGGCATAGATTAAGGCAACGGGGAGATGAGACAAGCTTGAAAGCCACAACACTTGTCTTTCCGACTTGGTACTTTCAGTCCTGGCCCCAACTACGACATTAACGATAATAAGGCCTCTCTTCCTCAGGGACACGTGCACTAGCCAGCACTTTGGCTATCAGGTTGTTTACTAGAGCTAGGCACTGTGCCGGGGTTGCCCATGAACAAATAAAGTATGTATTAAGGTCCCTCGAGAATCTGGCTAATTTTCAGGAATCCAATTGGCATACTTGTATGGAGGCACCTCAGCCGACTAACCAATGTGACTGAATCTGCCCTAAGGGAAATGAAATGTGAGGCCAATCGATGGAAATTCGTAGTATGCTCCCCACCCGATTGGCTTTTGTTTAAGTAGAATAGAATCATCTTTCTTTAGGGTGATCTTCGACCTAAACTCCAAATGACTCTCTGTTGAGGAAAAAACATTCTATTTAGAGTGATAGCTGAATCTAATTAATGAAGATGCATACCAAAGCCACTAGCCAACAAAATGGGAAAGAATGTCCTGGAGGCTTTTTTCCTTACGAAAGAATTGGGGTGAAATGAAGAAGACGCATCAAATTAACCCCCGTATTCAACTAAAGACTAAGAGACATGAGGACAAGCTCGTCCTCGTCCGAGTGGAGGGACTTAAAAAGATGCATAAATAGGGAAGAGACGAAAGCGGGAAAAGAGTACACAGAAGGAAAGGATCGTCCTTATACGAAGCATAAAGTCGAAGGGGAGAAAAGCGAGAAGTCACCCTAAAAACTAAATTAGACAGCCTCTGCTCATATCAAGCCCTAAACCCTCAGGGCCAGACCATTAAGTCCAATAAAAATGACAAGAATAGACAAATCAGTGACTTACATCTCGCGTGAACAGCACCAACCAAGAGTCCCGGAATCCAGAAAGGTCCTCGGAGGAAGGGGAAGCGGGCAGGTCCTGGCTTGTGTAGCCTATGTGAAGAAAGCCTGTTGGATAGTTCGGCTAAGAGCAGGAGATGAGCTTCGGACCACAACGAAGCAGATTCGCCTGCCCTGCTCAATGCAACAATCTGTTCTCTGGCCGGAGCTATTAAATAAAAGTCTCATAGAAGTCTTCCAAAGAATTCCGATCATGTTTGCCAAACACACAACTTTCACAAATTTCTAGGGTTTTAACCAGTTGGGTTACGATTGGGGCCTTGGTTGGTTGGGGCATTAGAAAGCAAGTTTAATTCATACTGTGCCCATAAGAATACGATACCATATTAAAACCAAACCCAGAATCTGTTTAAATCCTTTGTAAAACACAGTATGTACTCAAAATCTGTTTGAAAATATGGACTAATTTTAACTAAAATTTAAAAGAGTATCTATCACAAGTAACTGCTCATTCCTGAACATACAAATCTCCAAACTTTTAATTCATCTTATATATTTATTCAATTGTATTTTTCGCAAATGATTACCCGTGGAAACTTTGACATTAATAGTAAATAAAAATACTCACCTTCTCTGTGGTAATTGTAGAATTGGCATCAGGGCTTGATCCCATAGCTCTGGCTCTCCTTATTGTCCTTCCAAGAAAAGAAATATTGCTGGAGAATTTGCTGTATGTTGACTCAAATCTTGACAGAGTGAGGGTTGTAGGGTAAAATTTGAATATCATGAATTTGAATAGTTGCTCAAACACGAACACGAGATAGTGTAGAGAATGTCCTGCGTCAAGCGAGAGGAAAGCGAAGGATCTAGGAGTTGAAGAAACTACTGTTTTTTGAACCCAGGTTTACTAGCCAATTTTTTTTAGAAGAACACGTAATTAAAAAATAGGAAAAAATTTTGAATTTTCTTGTAAAATATTTTATTGCGGGAGAGTGTGATTAAAAATAAGTACGAGAAGAAAATAATTTGAAAGAACGAGGTCAAATATATATCCCCAAGTAGAATCGGATCCTAAAATTTTTAGGTTCAGCCCGAATCCGATCCGAACTTGAAAGCTAATATTTTTGTTTTAATTTTGGATAAAGAAATGATAAATGTAAGCTAATCTATTTGGCTAAGCAGCAGCATTCAAACAATGATTTTACCTTCCTAGCACTATTAGACCATTAAAGTGTATTTGATTGCCAGTGGGGAATAAATTCTAAACAATTTAATTGGGTAAAACTTATTTGTATGGAAATTATTAATAAAATGTGTTTAATTGATTTAGTTTTCAATTTAAAAAATATTATACTCGTCCATTTTTTTATTGGTATAAGAAAGAGAGAGATTGTGAATTACCTGAAAAATAAAAATTACCTCTCCATAAAGAAAATAATTTCCTCGTTTTCAATATGGTCACGTGACAAAAAGGAAAATATTTTTTGTGAAAAAAATTGTTAATTAAACAACACAAATGTAAGAAATTAGATGAAAAAACACATATTTCATGAAAAATATTAACAGTCAAACGCACCCTTTAACATTGAGGGGTTGCTCAATTGGTCAGACATTATATTTGCTCCTCAATGGTCACTAGTTCGAGTCCTTTCAAGACCACTGAGGTGAGTACCCGATCGTAAACTTCAGGGCTCCGTGGGATTAGTCGGGGTGCGCGCAATTTGGCCCGAACATCCACGGTTATAAAAATAAAAAGTCAAACGCACCCTTAGTTCCTAGTTATGGGTGGTACCAATCGTTATTTTGGAACTGTAAAAATAAAATCATTAGTTTCATATAACATAAAAATTGAACTCTAGCTAGAATTGATAATTGGATCATAATTTCTTGATTTTTTTTTTAAGACCCAAAACTCTACATTTTCAACTGAAAATAGGAAAAAACGATCTGGTGGATCCAATTTTGATCTGAATCAGGTGATAATTTCAGCATAAAAATGCTAAACTGTAACCATCTTAATTTTTTATTTTTTTTTTTGAATTCCTCACAATCTCGACCTTTCAAAAATGTAGCAAAACTCATCCTTCACTATTTTGGCCAATGACGAATTCGCCTCTTCGTTAAATAAATAAAAAAAGAAATATTCCTAAATCTTTTCGAAATTAACAAATAAGTCTTCTCCAACCATCCACATCCCCCAACTCAATCCACCCTCACAACCCCCACCCAAATCACCACTAACCAGCTACCCCCACCACTACTATCCCGACCGCACAATCCACCACCACCAGACAATGGTGTTCGTAAAGAGGACGAAATGTTAAAGTTTTGTTTATTATTATTTTATTCTTAATTCTGGTTAGGTTTTGATTAATCAATTATTATTAGTGAGTTGTTAGACATGACTTGTATTATCCTTTTTAGCCCTATTTGGGTTCCATTAAAATGAGGTTTCGAGAAAAAAATGGATTTTGAAATAGTGATTTTTTAAAGAATGTATTTACATGTAACATTATTTTATGAGAAAATATATCGTTAAAAATATATTTTTGAAAAAATGGACCAAAACGCAAGCTCATTAGGAGATATTTTGAGAGTCATGATTCCACTTTAGTAGTGGGTCTAGTTTCTATTTGTATAAAATACAAGTACATTAAGCTAATGATTTAGATTAAAACTAGATTTTTATTAGAATTTGATAAAAGTTGGTGTAACGTGTGTGTCATGTTAATAAAAATTGTGAGTTTTATAAATTATATGGTTGAAAATGAATTTGAAAAAAAAAAAAAAAACTCTCAAGAAATGATCGTGTGATTCGTTTGATTCACAAGAATAGAACCATCCGAGACGCAAAGATCTTAGTAATAACCTTATAAAACACATTGCAACCTGCAATCGGCCTATAATCACCAACGATATTTGAATGATTAGGAACTAAAGCAACGATTGTGTGATTCGTTTGCTTTAAAAGCGAACGTGAGTTGAAAAATTCCAAGACCGTCTCCTTGCAATCACTTCCAACAATTCCCCAAGCCTTCTTAAAGAAGCAAGATGAGCATCCATTCGGACCCGATGATTTATCGTCTCCAATTTGACAAAACATTTTTAAAGTCAAAATTTATTTTCGAGGCTAAAAATGTTTTTTTGTATATGTTTTAATAATTTTCGGCAAGCGTTTTATCCAACTAAAAAATCTTTTTGATGAAGCTGTTCTAAGGAAATTTTTTCAATAAACTATTCTAAAAGAAGTAGAAGTAAAAGAGAGAGTTTTGCCAATTGAACCCGTAATGTTTCAAGTTGAATCGCACATTGATTTGATCTTATACACAAACAAATTATGATTTAAGTCCATATTTTTCCTAGAAATGTTCCCTTATCGACAGAGCTTTTATAGGATTTATTCTTGAATTATTTAGATATGATATTCGATAAGAGGATTTGGTGCCACGATGACATGAAACTGCCGACAAGTTAGATTTGCATTAGATGCGAAAGCTTGAGAATAGGTCATTCACTTGTTTTTATGTCATTTTCATGCATCCACAATTGTTAAGGTTGTTCGTCTTTCTCTTGATCATCATACGAGTAATGATGCACTCTATTATATTCATACGAGTAATGATTCACTCTATTTGTTATGTGCTTTAACACGTTGAATTGTCGAATTGGACGAGTAAGAGAGTCTAAAAATCTCTTAGGCCAACTTTTGAAATTTTTTTTCTCATGTCAATCTCTCAACTAGTAAACAACTTTTAAAGAATATTAATTTTACATATCTTAGAGTCGGCGGAATATCAAATTTTATTTTTAGGGGTGGAAAAAAAGTAGCTTACAAGAAAGTGTAAATAAGCAAGTAAGAGCGTCTCCGATGGTGATATAATATTGAGTGTAAATTGGTAACTTCAAAAACACTTTTGCATCTTCATTTACATCATGGTGGATTTAAATTCAAATTTTGCTCCAATGAGAATATCTAAATTCACCTTTTGCCTCTTGAGGATGTAAAATATGTTATAAATTTACACTTTTACATTTTCCGTCGAAAAATACAATTTACAGCTTTAACTTAACAAAAGTTTACCAAGATTCCGATTGAGTGGATTTCGAAAGTGTAGGCGATCGAGCTACGTGAGACTGAAGCTAGCTCTCTTGATTGGTCTGATCAAATGCTTGATTTTTCTTGCGGCGTTTCCTTTTCATCTATCCATTGGAAAAGTATCCGATCATTTTGGAGATCTAAATCACAATTTAGACATATTTTACATCACGATTGGAGATGCTCTAACTATTGAGTTCAATCACATCTATATGACTTAAATAATGGTGTTTTAAAACTTGTCCACAAATAAATGAAAGAAATTAAGTTGAAGTACTTGATTTTATATCCAAGATTATACATATTAATGTAGTTGGGGAGATGCATCCTTCTATATTTGGAGGATGAGGTGACTGTCAAACGATTATCTCAAAGAATATTAATTATTGGATGGAAACTTGTTACCAACTTTTTGTTAGAGCCCATTTGGCTAATTAATTAGTGGAATAAAGATAGAATCATAGAAAGGAGGGACCTTTTTAGCACTAGGAGATGTATGCAAAAGTACCATGTACGTTGATGTGATTCACATTAATTGTGTCATGAGACCCGTCACCGGAACAACCGCCTTATAAATATATACGATACTTATATGTTCATTTCCTTGGTCCAAACACAATTTTTATTTGATTATATCAAATTATATTGTTTAAAAGTTTAAGTTATTAAAACATAATAATTTTTTGTATTTATATTCTATAAACTCGCGTTATTACGTAAAGATCAAAATCATTTTAAATAAATAATTGAACACATGAATTATTAATAACTGGAAGGTATATCTTTTCTAATCGTATTTTAAACTATCCCGTCTAAAATTTTTACATTCGTAAAAGTTTATTTATTTATTTCATGACTCCGATGATCCATCGAGCAATTTCTAACTCTAGAAAGAAGAAAAAGAATGGATTTAAAGAGGAAAAATGCTTTGAAACCAATTTGGGTAGGTTTTGAACCTTATCAGTTTGATTTTCGGTGGTCGAGCTGGATCCCAGCTTGACCCTTGCACAACTCTACTATCAAGTACTATTTGAACCTCCTACCAAACATGTTACAAGACTTTAATTAACTAAATTTCATATACTTCAGCTGATTTTTGATGTAGAGTGATAAATATTGAGACAACACGAACTATTGGCTGATCATTTCATCACAAAACACAAAGGAAAGATAAAATCGACGTACACTGACACGATGAATCTTTAAGAATTATCTTAGCCAGATCCACGGCGAAAAATGGACAACAGAGCATTCTTCATGACCAAAAACACATCCTTACGATTATCATCAAACGACGACCCATTTCTCGAAAATTGTCTTCCTTCTCCATGGACATAGGAAGGTGACAATACGTGCGATGATGTCGACCACGACAACACAGACGATGATGATGTAGAAGAAGAAGACGACGACGACGATTCGAACTGGTTAACTTTCTTGAGATCGATTCTTCTGAGTAAAGTGTGCAAAATTCTTGATCTTGAGCTAGGTTTTAAGGGTTTATTTCCGTTGGTGGAATAGTAAGAAGGAGGGGGTGTAAGAGGAGGAATTATAGAGGTGTCATAGAATATTGTGTGGTGTTTAGGGGTGCCAGGGCGAGTCTCCCACGTGAAGGGCACGGCACCAGATACATCTCCATAGTAAACCCTAAATGAAGGGTTGGTTTTTGTGGTTTCCTTTGAAAGGAGCCTTGAGAAAAACTTGTCGTCATTCTTGATTTCGAGGGACTTCTGCCCAGAATCTTGGCTCTTGCTAATCGCCATCGGCATGTTGAAATTAAGAAAAAGAAGGGTGGAGATATATAAATAGAGCTTTTAATGACAGCAAGGAAAATCATGAGCAATATTTTTGAAATTATTGTAATGAAGGTCCTTAATCTATGATGTCTGTAGTAAATTGATCCCCAACCAGATTGAGGGGGTGAGTTTTTCTCTTTTCTTTAATTTTTCCATATTAAAATTATTTGCATTTTACCTTCTTCTTTTTTTTGGCATACGTTGCATGTACTATTTCAAAAGTCAAATATAATGTCTGTATCGATTGAATATGTTTATTCAACAATTATAAAATATTGAAGATATCCAAATGATCGTGAAATATCACTACAATATCCCAGTAACATATTATGCGTCGGTTTTGTTAAAATAAAAATCAGATTTTAGTAAATTTTGATAAAAGTTAATGAAATATATAGTTAAAAATTTGTAAATTTCATAAAAAGTGTGATTAAAATTAATTATTGACTTTAATTTAAATTTAATTTTTTTTTTGAAAAAAACTGAATCAAAAAGGTACTATGTAATATATATAGAGCTAAATGATGAAAACAACATGGAAAATGCCAAAAGCGAAGTGGCCTTGGTGTCACAGCTTGAAAAAAGTGTCATCTATGTATCATAACCTGGTATAATCATTTAGTCCCTGTTTGAGAGAATATAATTAATAAAAAGTGATTTTTTTAGAATATATGGTTGAAAACTGAGAGAAAAATTTTGGTTTAAACATAATTTTATTAAAAAAAATTTGTATTTGACAACGAATTTGAGAAAAAAAAATTGAATTTTCGAGAACGGGACTGAGCTTAATTTATCATTAAACATTGTGAGTGATCTCTAAAAATGTGTAAAATTTGCATTTTGTGATTTCAAATAATCACGATTCCCTTCAAAATAAAGCATTATTATTGGCTTATGTAGTAAATAACATGCCATTAATTGAGCTGACATTCTGCAACTTGTCACTTTCAAGAATTCCCCAATTGTGTTGCATTATTCTCAGCCAGGACCATGCTTTCCATCATCCACCTTTTAATTAATACGCGAAATTAGTCAAGAATTTAAATTCTTATTCGTAGTTGTGTCTAGAGCTTGTTTGGTATAAATTAAAATTAAATTTTAATTTAAGTCAAAATCAAAAAATTAATATTAACTATATCTTTCATGAGTCTTACAACTTTTCAACCGCACATTTCAAAATTTTTTTTATCAAAATCTACTAAAAATATAATTTTAATTCTCACCAAACACCCCATAATCTTTCTCATTTCAAACGACCGAAACTAGGATTAAATCTCGTTGTTGTGTTTGCAAATGTTGTTATAAGTTAATCATCAACTTTAACTCTTTTTCAAGTTGATCACTCTATCTATATATGCTAATTTTTATTAGCATAACGCTATGTAGTGGTCGTAGACCAGACACCTTCTAAAGGAAATATTACATAAGAAAGACATTGAACGACAAAAAGTTCGTTTTTTTTTTTTTTTCTCACAAGGATTTGCTACTTTCTGACTTTGTAGTACCAGAACGCTACAACACAAGTTTATGTGACGTTAGTGATAAGTTCAATGAAAAATAAAATAAAATGATTTATTTAATCATACCTCTCATTAATGTTTTATTAGTGCCACTTAAACTCATGTTTTACTCTTGACTACTATCTCAATTTTCTCCTTATCGCGAATCAATTATATAGTATAATCGTTCATTAAAAAAATATTTAAATTAACGATCGAGGTAAAGCAAAGCAACATTTAAATCGTAAAATATTTTTTTTGCTAAAATTTCGATAACCACCCGCTTTTAACCCACCAAATATTCTTTGTAATCTTTTGAAACTACTAAATACGATGTGATCTTGTAGTTAATTAGCCCTTCGACAACATTTTGTGTGGTGCTTAAATGTATATTTAATGAATGAATATATGATCACAACAAGGTGAACACGTGTCATAATATTTACAGGTATCAAAACCCATGCCTTGCCATTGCCTAAATTAGACTTATAATATTTTTTATTTATTAGCACTTTTATACATAAAAAATTGAATTAGAGTGTAACATCATGAACGATATTGTTAAGTTTTTGAAACAATGAAATTAATAAGTTGTGTAGGTAATTAATAGATTGTTTAATTTAATCATATAGCACTTGCTTGGATCTCGTGTTCATCTAAGACGAATTAATCCAAGATTTAAAAGTCGGATCTTGATTTATTCGATGAATAACACCTTAATTATAGCCTCATGCTTATACTCTCTTCATGGTTACTAACTTCGAGTATCAAATGAACAACGAGGTCATGTCTCAATGCATTTATTTTAAGTTTATTTGTCGACTCAACTCGCTAGTGGGCGAGAGCTGAGCAGCGGTTTTCTCATGCAAGCTCTTCCTTTTGTGTAAAAAAGGAAGCGAAATTGCACAAACCAAGAGGCTACTCGAGCCACAGTTTGGTTGAGCAAATCGACTCACTACATTTAGCACGCCTAGGCACGAGGGAGCTATGTTCCTGTTCTTCCTAGTGATCGAGTAGGTACGAAATTTGGTAGAATCAGTATAGAATATAACTCTTTTTGAGTGTGCCTTTTCCAATTTTCTTTTCATCTTTGCCTTTTATTTGAAGTTGGGCTTGGTGTACTTGAGTGCATCATACAGGTGTGCATAATAGGCCAACGGCTCTTTCCTTGGCAACGGTCAACTCGATGCATTCTTCAGTGATTTGAAATACAAATCCAATTTAAAACAGGGACTGACAGTAGATTAAGGAAGGAAGATAGACGAGGTTGAAGTTCTTTAATCCTATGCCTTTTTTTATTATTGAAGATAAAGATAAAATTACATTTTAATGATAAGACACGGATGGCCCAGATCTCAATAACCCTTCAGCTTTTTTAACCTCTTGTGAGAAAAATCCAAACGGTACACTCACTTTTTCCTATAAAGTTAACTCTGATGCCGTACTCATCACCTACCCACTCTCTATAACAACATACGAATAAGCCATTTTTTTCTTATCCGTAACGAATAAGCCATTTTTTGTTCTTGAGGGATCTCGTAGCAACGTTTTTCTTGTTTCTGTAATGTCTGCGGAAAATCTTGAAGCCAATGGTGATCGGACTGATTCGGGCCTGAAAATGAGCCAAGAAAATGAGCCGGGTTCGGAGGAGAGAATGAGTAGGAGAAGGGCTGAGATTGATACGTCGGCGCCTTTCGAGTCGGTGAAAGATGCGGCGAATCGATTTGGTGGAATAGGATTCTGGAGACCCAGTTATCAAAAGCCCCAAGAACATTCCTCTCAGGTCTTCACTCATACAAAACACACATTAATATGAGAAGATTTTTATTTATTTTCTGTACTTTATATTGATTTTGATATGAAAAATTCTGCTGCTTATTCACCTTTTTAGTTAACTAGTTTCTAATTTTGAAGTCTAATTCCCTAGAACTGAGTAAATTTGTGTGCTATGTTCTCTGTCTAATCGCGTTTGAAATGTTTTTCGAATGGCAGAAAGGTAGTGAAATTCTTGACATTGTAAATATGGAGGAACAGGCTGCACAGTTGGAAACAGAGTTGATAATGAAAGAAAGAGAGACCCTAGATGTTTTGAAGGAACTGGAAACCACTAAAAACACTGTCGAAGAACTAAGATTGAAGCTGCAGGAAGAAACATCAGAAATAAATGCAGCCCTCAATGCAGAAACAGATGATAAAAATGTGAATTCTACTGCAGAAATGGGAGAGAAGTCTGTTCCACGTTCCATTTTACTGGAACTGGAACAAGCTAAATTGAACTTAAGCCGGACTACTAACGATCTTGCAGATATTCGAGCTACGGTTGATTTCTATAACAAGAAAATAGAGAAAGAAAGAATGTCGCTTGAAAAGACTCGTCAAAGGTTGTCTTCCAATACCTCAAAAATTTCATCACTTGAGAAAGAGTTAAACCAAACAAGACGGAAAGTACAGCTGGTAAACGATAATGAAGGCGAAAGTAGTCCCCGTGATCCCTTGGATGTTACAAGGGAGCTGCAAAAGTTAACTTCTGAGACGGAGAAGTTTAAGAATGTAGGAGAAGCTGCAAAGGCAGAAGTTTTGAGAGCAATGTCCGAGATTCAACAGACGAAATCTCGGATTAAGACTGCTGAGAAAAGATTGATTGCTGCTAAAAAAATGAAAGAAGCAGCAAGGGCTTCTGAAGCTGTGGCACTTGCTGAAATCGAAGCACTGTCGAAGAGTGGAAACTTGTGTGAAGATGTTCAGCAAAAATCGGAACGTGTAACTATTACTGTTGAGGAGTATTCATCTTTGATCTCGAGGGCTCGAGAAGCAGAGGAAGCCTGTAATGGGAGAATAGTGGATGCAATGCTTCAAGTTGATGAAGCTGATGTGTCGAACGCAGAAATTTTAAAGAAGGTAGAGGAAGCAACCGAAGAAGTTAAAATAAGCAAAAAGGCTTTGGAAGAGGCATTGAGTAGAGTGGAAGCAGCAGATAGTGGTAAATTGGAAGTTGAAGAGGCTCTTCGGAAATGGAGATCCGAGCATGGTCAGAAAAGGCATAATGTACAAAACTCTTGCAAATTCAAGAACTCTCATACATCGTCACACAATAGGAGGGAGAAGGAGTCTCGTCTTCTTGACATAAATGGTCTGAATCTGGTTAATGACGAGGTAAAACCAGTCCTGAGGCCAACTCTGTCAATCGGGCAAATATTAAGCAGGAAACTGCTTCTGGCAGAAGATTTTGAGAATGGAATGCAGGAAGAAAATAGCATGTGGAAGCGTAAGGTGTCATTAGGCCAAATGATCGGTAAACCTAGTGCTGATTCTCATTCTACTGAGAAAGCAGGGAAGGAAAACAGTCGCGAACCACTCCCAGCAAAGAGGAAGAAGTTTGGTTTTGCTCGAATCTCACTCCTTGCGACGAAGCAAAGTCAGAAGAAGAAGAAAAAGACAACTAGTTCAGGTTGTCGAAGCGTGCAAATCGACTGAGCTGTGTATTATTATCATCAACAGACTGTCACACTCCACTATCTACCTAGTTGTTACTGGTTTATGTCGAAGTTTCAGAACTTAAATTATGCTTATTTTGGCATGCCGATGTTATTTGATTCCCTAAGCGTTTGCAAATACTGTTGTTATTGAAATGAATCGACTATATTGAGTTGAGATGTGCTCTCCTCGTTGTGTCTTTTCGCTGTTTGTATATCTCAATCAACTCCTCTCCCCACCCTGGGGGCTGGAGCCACCCAAGGCCCAAAGAAGGCTAGAATCCTGCTTGCATTACATAATTTTTTTTACACAATGTTTACAGACAACACACATGGTGGGGCCGGCACAATTTTTTTTTTAATACATGTGGGGGCCCGCCCCTCGTGAGGGGTCTGTAAGACCCCTGTGAATGAATCCCTTGTACATGGGGATTTATTCTGAAGGCAAATGCCTTCGCTCGATTTGAGAGAAAAAACTGATCGGAAGTATATTTGCTACAACTTTTTACACAAAAGGACACTACAAAAGAGACCAACTACAAAAATCTCAACGCAAGGAAAGTTTGTCTGGAAAGACTAAAGGATGCTAAGGTAGTTACACCACATTTTGTCACACATTTTGGTTTTTAGTATATTTCTATTTAGTTCATTTAATGTTTTATGCAAGTATGAAAATCTGTAGACACAACAGTTACAACATATTGAAAAATATATATCTTTGAAGTTTTAAATTTTTATTAAATTATGCTAACCACCCCCACACACAAAATGAAAAGGAGAACCCCTTCGTTCAAAATCACCCTTCTCTCAAATTCATAACTATTCTTTAAACAATAGAGAGAGTATTCTTGATTACTTCAAATAATCAGAGGCGGCTCAAACAATTCAAATGTTAAATTTACCGAGTCGTTCTCCAATCACACTGTTAAATTCAGAATTAGAAACAATGGCAGAAAGCAAGAAATAGACAAAAGAAAGAAACACAGTAGCTAGAAGGAGACGAAAGTGCTGCCTCATTAATTGAACTCAATTGATTAAATTTTACAATAGTCATGAGCTATATTTATACTGAAAATCACAACTGATTGAATAACAAAATAATAGAAATTAACTAACTCTTCCAACTAACTTTAACTGACTTGAACTAAATTAACTAACCCTTCCAACTAACTTTAACTAACTTTGAACTACATCAACTAACTTTGCTTTTTCTTTCTTTCTCTTTAATCAATGTTGTCGATTTGTGAGGTGATACACCCAACATCCCCCTCAAGATGAACATGGATATTAATGATATTCATCTTGCGAAGAGTGTAATGAAAAGGCAAAGAGCTAAGGGCTTTAGTAAAGATATCAGCAAGCTGGATCCTAGAGGAAATGTGAAAGATTTTGATAACATTTTGTTGCAATTTTTCTCGAACAAGATGACAATCAATTTGGACATGTTTTGTTCTTTTATGTTTAACAGGGTTTGTAGCAATGGCTAATGTAGATTTGCTATCAGTGCAAAGAGAAGTTGGTTGTGGATGATCAATGTTAAGGTTTTGTAGAGCATAAAGTAGCCATTGAATTTCACAGATAGTAGTTGCAAGAGCCCTATACTCTGCCTCAGCTGAAGAGCGACTGATTGTAGCTTTCTTCTTTGATTTACATGAGATCAAGGAGTAGCCAAGGAAGATTGCAAAATCAGTTACACTTCTATGAATGTCGACACAGCCTGTCCAATCACTATCCGAAAAAGTCTTTAGCTGTAATAAGCTTTCTTCTTTGATTTCCATGAGATCAAGGAGTTGCCAAGGAAGATTGCAAAATCAGTTACACTTCTATGAATGTCGACACAGCCTGCCCAATCACTATCCGAAAAAGTCTTTAGCTGTAATTTTGAAGATGCTGGAAAGAAAAGACACTGCCCTGGTGTGGCTTTTAGATAATGCAATACTCTGGTTGCTGCTTGAAAATGACTCACAACAGGAGCAGCACGGAATTTGCTAAGTACTTGGACAGAGTATGCGAGGTCAGGCCTTGTAATGGCTAGTAATCTACCAATAAGCCTGCGGTAACCTGATGGATCTTCATATGGAGAAGTGTCGGATGCAGAGAGCTTCAGATTGGATTCCATAGGAACAGCAGCAGGTTTAGAACCAATTAAACTAATGTCTTCGAGAATGTCAATAGCATATTTTCTTTGGCACAACGAAATACCAGTTCTAGACCTTGCTATCTCCAAACCAAGGAAATATTTGAGTTGGTCAAGATTTTTGAAAGTGAATTTGTCATGTCAAAATGACTTCAGCTGCTGAATTTCCAGAATGTTATAACTAGCCAAGAGTACATCCACATAGACTAAAAGTGCAATAAAAGAGTGCTCAAATCTTTTAAAGAAGAGGGAAGAATCAGAATGACTTTGGACAAAACCATATTGGAGGAGAGCATTGGATAACTTTGCAAACCACTGCCTGGACGCGTGTTTTTGGCCATAGACGCTCTTTAAAAGTCTGCAAGCATTGTGACCTCCAATGACAACCATTCCAGGAGGTAATTCCAAATAAACCTCTTTCATGTAAGTCCCCATGTAGGAAGACATTGTTGACATCTAGTTAATGAAGATGCCAGTTTTAACAGCAACCACAACAAGAATAAGTCTGATGGAAGTGATGTGTTACGCAAAAATCTCGTAAGCGTACGAGTTCATTGTACAAGTAATAATTGTGATGAAGCTTTCTTCTTTGATTTCCATGAGCTCAAGGAGTTGCCAAGGAAGATTGCAAAATCAGTTACACTTCTATGAATGTCGACACAGCCTGCCCAATCACTATCCGAAAAAGTCTTTAGCTATAATTCTGAAGATGCTGGAAAGAAAAGACACTGCCCTGGTGTGGCTTTCAGATAATGCAATACTCTGGTTGCTGCTTGAAAATGACTCACAATGGGAGCAGCACGAAATTGGCTAAGTACTTGGACAGAGTATGCGAGGTCAGGCCTTGTAATGGCTAGTAATCTACCAATAAGCCTGCGGTAACCTGATGGATCTTCATATGGAGGAGTGTCGGATGCAGAGAGCTTCAGATTGGATTCCATAGGAACAGCAGCAGGTTTAGAACCAATTAAACTAATGTCTTCGAGAATGTCAATGGCATATTTTCTTTGGCACAACGAAATACCAGTTCTAGACCTTGCTATCTCCAAACCAAGGAAATATTTGAGTTGGTCAAGATTTTTGAAAGTGAATTTGTCATGTCAAAATGACTTCAGCTACTGAATTTCCAGAATGTTATCACTAGCCAAGAGTACATCCACATAGACTAAAAGTGCAATAAAAGAGTGCTCAAATCTTTTAAAGAAGAGGGAAGAATCAGAATGACTTTGGACAAAACCATAGTGGAGGAGAGCATTGGATAACTTTGCAAACCACTGCCTTGACGAGTGTTTTTGGCCATAGAGACTCTTTAAAATTCTGCAAGCATTGTGACCTCCAGTGACAACCATTCCAGGAGGTAATTCCAAATAAACCTCTTTCATGTAAGTCCCCATGTAGGAAGACATTGTTGACATCTAGTTAATGAAGATGCCAATTTTAACAGCAACCACAACAAGAATAAGTCTGATGGAAGTGATGTGTTACGCAAAAATCTCGCAAGCGTACGAGTTCGTTGTACAAGTAATAATTGTGATGAGTGAGTTAACGTCCCACAGGGAATACCGCTCAATTTTAGAGTATTCAATATATTTAAATTCGCAAATGTACCAAAAGATCGTTGATTATTAGTTGCCTA